CTTGCTGTATACATGATTATACCCTGAATGTTTTACAGAGTTAGTTCAGCTTTAATTAAACACTTGCTGTATATGTGATTATACCCTGAAAGTTTTACAATTAGTTCAGCTTTAATTAAACACTTGCTGTATATGTGATTATACCCTGAAAGTTTTACAGTTAGTTCAGCTTTAATCAAACACTTGCTGTATATGTGATTATACCCTGAAAGTTTTACAGTTAGTTCAGCTTTAATTAAACACTTGCTGTATATATGATTACACCCTGAAAGTTTTACAGTTAGTTCAGCTTTAATCAAACACTTGCTGTATATGTGATTACACCCTGAAAGTTTTACAGAGTTAGTTCAGCTTTAATTAAACACTTGCTGTATACATGATTACACCCTGAAAGTTTTACAGTTAGTTCAGCTTTAATCAAACACTTGCTGTATATGTGATTACACCCTGAAAGTTTTACAGTTAGTTCAGCCTTAATTAAACACTTGCTGTATACATGGTTATACCCTGAATGTTTTACAGAGTTAGTTCAGCTTTAATTAAACACTTGCTGTATATGTGATTACACCCTGAAAGTTTTACAGTTAGTTCAGCTTTAATTAAACACTTGCTCTATACATGATTATACCCTGAATGTTTTACAGAGTTAGTCCAGCTTTAATGAATGTTTATTTGCAATTTCTACACGATCTTGCCATACAACTATTACTGGCTTCTTCCTAACATGTTCTCTATCCTTTATATTCTTTCAATATCAGTGACACAAGAAAATTTTACTGTCTTATTGCTTCAGTCAGTCTTTATGATGCTTGCTTAACACTAGCCACAAACTTATTAATAAAACCTTATAAAAGAATCGTTTAACATAGGAGTCGTACCCATCACTCATAAAACTAGTGTGGTTCAAAACTAATTGGATGTTGCTTCTCAGTACCTGAAAAGGTGTTGTGACATCATCCTTTTTACAGTCATTTTCAACTGTAACAGACTGAGAAGTTTTGGATTCACCTTCTTGCTCTTCTTTAGGTTCTTGGATGTTTTCATGGAGAAATGTTTCCTCTGGAATCTGCATAATCAAAATTCATCATTGAATACAGTAAAATCCACTACCAGTTGTTACCAGTACATGCCAAAGCAAAAAGCCATGATAAAACTTGTCAAGTAACATAAACTTAATAACACTCAAAAACAAACTGTTTCTAAATACATCTGCTATTATTTTCCAGTGACTTAACAGGTAAACTAATATATAATTAATTTACTTTGCTAGGTACATCTTTTTCCTACTGTAACGTCTATACGTCATACAAGAAAATAATGTAGTTGAAGTTCTTTCAATGATTTAGTTCGAAAATAATTTGAGCAAAGTAAATACCCCTGACAATGACTATTATTGCTAGAAGTAGGCAAAGTAAATACCCCTGACAATGACTATTGTTGCTAGAAGTGGGTAAAGTAAATACCTCTTGCAATGACTATTGTTGCTAGAAGTGGGAAAATAAAGATCTCTTGCAATGACTATTGTTGCTAGAAGTGGGTCAAGTAAATACCCCAGGCAATAAATATTGTTGCTAGAAGTGGGAATTAGTGGTATTTGCTAATCGATTAATCAACAGCCCCATTTAGCAGTTACATTTGATTAACTGATTAGTACAAGGTTCCCAAAACCATAGTATGTACAAACATTTACCTTCCTCAAACCACAGTAAGTACAAACATTTACCTTCCTCAAACCACAGTACGTACAAACATTTACCTTCCTCAAACCATATGTACAAACAGTTACCTTCCTCAAACCACAGTACGTACAAATAGTTACCTTCCTCAAACCATAGTATGTACAAACAGTTACCTTTCCCAAACCACAGTATGTACAAACAGTTACGTTCCTCAAACCATAGTACGCCATTAGCTACCTTCCTCAAACCATAGTACGCCATTAGTTACCTTCCTCAAACCACAGTATGCACAAACAGTTACCTTATTCAAACCATAGTACACCATTAGTTACCTTCCTCAAACCATAGTACGCCATTAGTTACCTTCCTCAAACCATAGTATGTACAAACAGTTACCTTCCTCAAACCATAGTACGCCATTAGTTACCTTCCTCAAACCATAGTATGCCATTAGTTATGTTCCTCAAACCATAGTACACCATTAGTTACGCTCCTCAAACCATAGTATGTACAAACAGTTACCTTCTCAAACCATAGTACGCCATTAGTTACCTTCCTCAAACCACAGTATGCCATAAGTTACGTTCCTCAAACCACAGTACATACAAACAGTTACCTTCCTCAAACCATAGTACG